CCAGCACCAGTGGGGCAGACCTGATTCCTGCTGACCCTAGGGATGGTGTGGAGGCGAGAGGCACTTTCCAGGCAGAATTTGCGGCCTCTCTTTCTCCAGGGCGCGCATTGCGCCTCCTAGTCCCGTCTGGGCTGGGGTGGGGCCCTCTGCCTTGCGGGATTGTCTCTGGGGAGAGGACCATCTGTCATGCTCACTGCTATGTCACCAGCGCCCCAGTTTACTCCCGCCCCTGCCCCATTGTGAGAACCTTGCTCCATCTCCTCCCTGCAGCCCCTTGGCCTCTGCAGTCGCCAGCACACTGACTCCCCCACCGTGTTGGAGACCTCCTTCCTGTCTCCTTCTCCACACCAGGGAGCTCCGCGCTGTGTCCTGAAATCCAGCCTGTCACTCCCCTTCCACCTGGAAACCAAACAGACAAAAAAAAAAAAAAGAGAGAAAGAGAGAGAAAAGAAAATGCAAATCATAGTGGTCATTAAGTCCGTTTAAACCAAAGGGAAAGACTTAACTGAAGGAATTCCTTTGAAGGAATTAACTGCTGTTAGTTGTTAAGGAATTATGAAGGAATAGTAAACCTCCAAAACCAAAGTAGACAAGGGTAAAAACCACGCTGCCTATTCTATTAAATTTCCTCCAGCTCACTGATAAGTTATTTGTTTTCTTCAATAGTGTGATGTCCCTCTTATAGCCCCCAGCATAAACAGGCATTTTACTTGAAAAATGACTTACTAGTCATGCCAAAAAACAGAGAAAGTGTGTATGAAAATGTGCAGTTAGGAGAAAAACTTTCTAGCTCAGAGCTGGGGAAGGGAATTATACAAGTAAAGAAGAACTTTCCTGTTAAATTCACATGTATGTAGGAATGACTCCTAGAAATAACAAGAATTACAAATATATTTTAATCATAATTCACTGTTTAGTAATCTCTAATAAGTCAGAGATTGCCCCTGTAGTATGAGCATCCTGCAAGCAAGAATGTGGGTCATCCCATTAACTACTATATCCCTACTGCCCTAAGCAGTCTGTGAAATATAGTAGAAATAAGGAGTGAGACAAGAAAAATAAGAAAGGCAGTTGTATTTCCAGCTCAGATTCTGTTTAATCCCACCAGGCTCCTCTCATATTTATATCTTTTTCCTTGTAACAAGAAGAGATTGACTACATTATCTATCAGTAGAAGACTATTAAATAAATCAAGGAACATATACTAGAATGTGTCTATTTTTAAAAGAGGCGGATCACAATGTACTCTCTATAAAATGGTTTTTAAAAATACCAAGTTGCAGAAGCATGAGCAGATTATGCTGATATTTGCATTTTAAAGGGAGAGATTTATGTGTATTAGTTTGCTAGGGCTGCCATAACAAAATACCACAAACTGGTAACAACACTCCTGAAACAACAGAAGTGTATTTTCTTACAGCTCCACAGGCGATGACATCTGAGACCAAAATTAGCAAGATTGGTTTCTCATGAGGCCTCTTGATTTTTGGATGGCTGTCTGCTTCCTGTGTCTTCCTGTAGCCCTTGCTCTGTGTGTGTGTTTGTTCTCATCTCCTCTTTTGAGGATACTATATTTGATTAGGGCCTACTTTAAGAACAAGATTTTAACTTAACTCCTTAAAGGCCCTACCACTAAGTACAGTCACATTTTGAGGTTTTGGGGGCTAGGATTTCAACATACGAATTTTGTAGAAACACCTCAACCATAACAGGTTTTCAAAACAGTTTTAGTTTAATTCACTATATGCCTAAATGAATGGCTCCTCCATCTCTTTGTCCAACCCTCAGTCCCTTCTTAGCATCATTCAATCCATGTGTTACTGATTTGTAGGCCAAAGAAACACATTTGAGCTTTGGTCTCCTGTGAGTTTTCCTCCTTTATAGTTATTTTGTAACCCAAACATCTATTAGTCATTAGGTTGAAGGATCTGAGAAATAATTGGAGCATCATATAGAACTTTGGTATAGAAAAATCTCCTAATAATATATTTCTTCAATTAATGCATAGATTTCTTCAATTAATGCATTAAATTAAAACTGTGACAGTTGACTTTTAGGAAAGTAATACAGTTTTGCTTTTTCATGAGATAGGGCTGTTTATCAATGAATTTGAGAGCCACTGAAAAATAACATTAAGCTTATTAAGTTTAAAGCACATTCTAAAGTCCCCTTATTTCCTTTACCCTTTGCTGACCTGTTTTTTATGTCAATGAAAGACTAAGCAAAAACAAAAAAACTAAACAGCACTGAATGTGGGCATGATATAAAGATGTCATAGGAAGTGAGGTGGGGCTCCATTGGGGATGCCCATGGGCTACCTGATGAAACATCTTCTGTGCTCTAGCTGTTTCTTGCTTATGGCATTACATGAGCCAATTTAGAAATGCCCTCGGGGGCTGGCGTCTTCCTGTCTGTCTTCTACTCCAGTTTGAAGTCCTGTGAGGAGCAAGGTGCATTTTCAGCCTGGCTCTGATGATGCCAATTAGGTGACCTTGGGCAGATTCCTCACCTTTGTCATATAAGTTTCTTTAGCATAAATTGAAGGGATCACAGCTGAGACTTCTTAAAACACTTACGGTGTGGCACATGCTGATCCATATGCTTTGTCTTTATATTAATTTATTTACACACCACTCTGTGAGGTAAACCATGCTATTATCCCCATTTGAAACTGGAAGCAGATTATGATTACCACCTATCATTTGTGTCCTCTTTTAGTTTTTCTATACTAATATTTTTAAATTGAGCCTTTTAAAATCAGCGTCCTCAGTGTACTTCTTGTGGGATAATTTTCAGCGTGTTATGAAAATACAAGTTTATGTGACTGTTTCCTGTAGCCCTTGAGAGAAGTGCAGGGCCCTATCTACATAGCACCCGACACATCTGGGCTTCCCGTGGCCCCAGAGAAGTGCGGAACCCTGTCTACATGGTCCATGGCAAATCTGAATTTATACTATCATGCTTGAAGCTCCACCGGTTTGTTTCTCTAGACTGCAGTTCACCACAGCCCTGTTGCTTCCACAGTCCTGGGGGGCTCTCTCCTGTGGGGGTTGATAATTGACTAAGTCCCACAGTCTTCTAGAACCACTGAAACTAGTTATATTTTTTAAGGCAACTTCCAATATAGAGGCTGGAATCAGGAAAGACATGGCTCACTGTAGCCCCAAACTCCTGGTCTCAAGTAATTCTTTCTTCTCGGCCTCCCAGAATGCTAGGATTATGGATATGAGCCACCATGCCTGACCAGGTTTTTAAAATCTTTAATAAGCAGCAAAAAGATTATCTTTCCACTATCCTTGCAAAGTGGGCATCTACATATCAAATGTAAAACTGTTTTCAAAAATATCTCTGTAAATTATTCTTCTACTTGCCATCAAACCCACATTATTTATTTGTAAGATATTCCAGTAAATAAATAAAGACAGATAAACAGTCATGAGATGTGATCACTTTTTACTGTGTTTCTCCAGGAATTTGCTTAATCTTCTTAGTCTCTTTTAATATTAGGCTAATACGTGATTTGGCTTATGAACTGTTATTTAATGAATAGTGAAATTTTCATTTGATTTTGCAGAATTTAAAAATGGTGCTGCAGTAGTAGAAAAATATGCATAAATATTTCTTGACCGTAAGCTGCAAGTTCTATGATGAGGCTTTAATTATCTGTAAATATATTTTTAGAATTGTTTGTTCAAAAGATCCAAGTTTACATAGAAATTCGTCTCATATTATTGTGATATATTTGACTCATTTTTTTATGTAGGATTGACAGTTACATTTCATTTCAATTATAGTTAATTTCAATTATTTGTAAGTCTTAATTTCTTCAGTACCATATGCAAGGTGTATTATGTTATAAACTAAGCAGAGATTGAGTTTCCTTTGGGGAAATTAGATTTTAGTTAAAGGTACTAATAGTACCAGTTGTTGCCTTAAAGAGGACCCCTTTCCTTCTTTAAACTTCTTCTGTGAACACTACCTCTGTGTCCAGCATAGGACTGTATCACATTAAGATTCTTAGAGGTACATCAGAGAGGACCAAAAAAGTAGGGGGAGAAGAAACCTTTATTTTATTTATTTATTTTCTTTATTTTAAAGATGTGGGGTACAATTCAGGGTTAAGTATACAAATCTTCATTTCGCAGGTAGCCTTGTTGATGAGGTATGCTCCTCCGTTCCCTGGCAGTTTCCCTCAACTGTCAGTCCCACCCCCTCTCCCCTGGCAGTTTCCCACTACTGCCAATCCCTTTCTTAGAAGACCTTTTTAAGATCTGAATTCGTACCATTAATGTTTCAAAAGCTGCTACCAGGGTCTGTGCCAGAGTATCACCCCTTTCATAAGAACCTGCTCAGTCTTCCCTCATCGTCTTGCTAGCAGGCAGATGTCTTCAGCTTTCAGCCTGTTGTCAGGCATGTAACTGTGGCAAGATCCAGCGTGGAAAGACATGTATTGCCTTCACCAGCCCTGTGTAACAGGCATGGGTGAGCAGTGTGCTGGGAGGGTCCACCTGGACTGGCCACAGCCTTGTGCTTTGGCAGAAGAGGGTCCTTTACTCCCCAGGCTAGGACAGAGTAACACATTAGCGGTACCCAGGATGCAAAGTCGAAGCCTGAACTTGACAGTCCACTGAAAAACCTGTTTCCCCAAGCCCGACTCCAGAAAATAGGACCTGATGGCTTCCATTATGCAGTTTGTTTAGTAAACGTTTAGTAAAAGCAGCGGTGTCATGTCAAGCAGAGTCTGTCTAATGCTGAATAAGTCACTTACCAGCTTGGAGATTGCTGGCAGAATAACTTCCCTGAACCTTGTTTTCCCTAGTGAAGAGGGCCATGGGGTTAAAAAACATACAGTATACACCCATGGAGTGTTCACAGTGCTCAGGTGTGCTCTGGATGCCAACTCCTCCCCACCTGGCCCTCCTTATACCTCTCCTGCCACTGTGCCCCAACTGGACACTCCTTTGGTTAAAGAGTGTGTGATTGTCAACCCTTCTTTTCAGAGAATGATGAGGAGCAGGAGACGCTGCCCTCTCTGGATAAGCCTGGCTGGTACTCCCAAGGGAATGCTGTGCACCTCTATGAACTTCTGAAGAAAATGACCAGCAAACCGGAGCCCCAGGTACATTCTGACTGAGGTGGCGCCCTCGACGCCCTTGCAGACACAGGCAGTTGCAAACTGAAACCACAGTCCTCAGTGCGGGAACCGCCTGCCACTGCCTGTCACACCTCTCTCATCTCTTCTGCTTAAACAAGCCTGTCCTTTGTCAGAGAAGAGCAAAGATTCCAAGCAGGTGCCACAGACTTAGGGGCACACCAGAGGAGTGGGTTGCCTGAGGAATGAAATCCAGACAACAGTTTATCAAAAAAGTCTTTATATGTAAAACACACAATGCTTGAAATTATGCTTCAGACTAGTCTAACGATCCACACTTTTGTCAACACTACCACGTTGTTGTCATTGGACATTGCTGCATTTGTAACAGCTGAGTTCTTCTAAAAAATATTCACCAGAATCCCTGTGAGTAGAGATTGTTGGGTGGCTGAGCCCGGCCCAGTGGGTTCTACAGGCCCCTGGGCCCCTGCAGGCGTAGGGGATGGAGCTCTTAACTTGGAGGCTCTGGTTCTCACAGTCTCACATGTAAATTGAGGGACATGGACTAAGTCAATGGGTTTTTGCCTCAGAGCCCAGAGAGCACCCAGATCCCTCAGGCTTGACCCACTCTCAGTGGTTGCTTCAGCAGATCTGAGGTTGGGCCCAGAAACTCTTGACAAGTGTTGTAAAATGTATTCCCGATAATCAAGAGCCTCCTATAACAAGTCATCTCTGATCTCACCAGCCCTCCAGCTTTAGGAGTGGATTCTCTATAAACATGTCTGTAAACAGATAGGTTCACTTGTTTAGGAAAATTGAATAAGACATTTGTTTCATCTCCTGCTTTCTTCTACCTGCCAATGTATCCTATGACTTCTTAACACAAGCCTATGGGCAGCAAGACCTCATCTCTACAATAAATCAAAAAATCAGCCGGGCGTGGTAGCACATGCCTGTAATTCCGGCTACTTGGAAGGCTGAGGTGGAAGGATCGCCGGAGCCCAGCAGGTCGAGGCTGCGGTGGCCGGGAGCAGCCACTGCACTCCAGTCTGGGCGACAGAGTGAGACTCCAACTCAAAATCAAAAAACAAAAAAAAAACACAAGCCTGGGTCCTGGTGAATCACACAGAATTATCTGAAGGGCACTGTGCAGCTCTTCAAGGGGATCTAAGAAGCTCTTGCAGCTTGCAGTTGTCAGACTCTGATGCCTGTTGGAGATTTCCTTCTGTTTCCATGACATGAATGCCACTCTCTCTTGCACTTCCGTGCCTCAGACTGAATTTGCTGTCTGCTTGCAGGTGGTTTATTTTGGTGACAGCATGCATTCGGATATTTTCCCAGCTCGTCATTATAGTAACTGGGAGACAGTCCTGATCCTGGAAGAGCTGAGGGGTGATGAGGGCATGAGGGGTCGGAGACCCGAGGGGTCGGAGCCACTAGAGAAGAAAGGGAAGTATGAGGTAAGGTCCCATCATCCCTGTCCTGGAGGAAAAAGTGTGCATGTCTAGAAGCCAAAGCGTCCTCTTACTTGACTTCAGCATTATCCTGGACAGGCTGAATGCCATCATGTTAAAAAAAAAAAATTGAAACTTTGAATCAATTTATTGGCTTCATATTCTGTGAACACTGAGATAAATAATTCTGTTCTCATTTCCATCTAAAAAAAATTAGATACCAAATAAGAAATTTAGACCAAGTAGTTTTTTAACTGCCCTTTATGTAATAATAATAATAATAATTAGTTATTTCTATTGTAGAAAATATTATCTTTCTAGATTGCTCTGTTTGGGGGTAGTTTTCAGATAAGAACGAATTGACCATATAAAAATCAAGTCCCAGTTTAAAATAAAAGACACTTCATAATAAAAAGGGGTTATTTCTTTTCCAAAAATGTAATGTGTGCCCAAAGCCTATTTGTAGGTTCCTACAGTGTTTTTCTATTTTGATTTACTTAAGGATGAAAAAACTTGATATTGAACATTAATTAATCACAGTTTTAATTACTCTGTTCTCTTGTTTCAGGGATCAAAGGCAAAACCTCTAAATACCTTATCTAAAAAATGGGGCTCTTTTTTTACTGATTCTGTTTCGAGACTGGAAAATACAGAAGACTCCTTGGTTCATACCTGGTCCTGTAAGAGAATCAGTACTTACAGTACCATTGCAATTCCAAGTATTGAGGCAATTGCAGGTAAAGGGGAAACTTATGAAACTTTACCTTTCTGGACAATAATACCCTGCACTAGAATACTTGCCTTTAAGATAAAGAAATCTTCCCATGACATTGGTTTACTTTTGGGGAAACAGCAGCCTAGGGGATTAAGACCAGCACTTCTACTGGAGCCAACTATAAAAACTGGACAATTTTTTTAAGTCTGCTTGGAGGCACAGGATAAAGATAGAGAATTTTACTAAAACAGGATGCTGAAGAGGCCCAGTGAGAGGGAACCGGACTTTGGGGACTGCTTTTCCCCCTAGGTGTTTGCTGCTTCCAGAGAGAGTGTCAAAGAAGGTGATAGGCTTTCAGTAGTTTCATGAACCCATAGGAGTAGGACCTGGAGAAGAAGGCCGCCCTGCAGAGGGGGCCTGTGAGTGCCCACAGTCTGTGCAGACCCTTGCCTTGGAGTCAGGATGAACTGAGAGAGTCCCGTTCACAGTTGCTGATGCTCAGCTTCAAGTCCACTGAGTCCCTAGCCTGGACTGAGAGAGTACAGGTGGCTAGTACACCTATGTGCCTGCTGGAAGCAGACACAGATGTTCTGTTGAGGAGAGAACATCATTCTAGGACTCAGATCACTTCCAAAAACAATTCATTACGCTTCAGCACATAATGAAAATAGTCAGATATGTCAAGATGCAAGATCATGCTAACAGAAACAACTGTGGTTACTATGGTCAAATACAGAAAGGAAAGGATCAAGGCATTTAGTAGAGAAATAAAAACTATAAAAAGAATGGAAAGTATAGACCTGAGAAAGGGTTTGTTGTGTCATATTCAGTTGTTGGTTTTGATGTTCAGCATACCTCCTCAAGAAGCACAATACGAGTCTCTAAATTAGTGCTCATAGCTGTGATCACATTCTCATAACAGTTGTAGCTCAGATAGAACTTGACATTGATTAAGTAACAGATTCAGTACAGTGGGAGTTTCAGTCCTGTGTAACTTACCTACACATTTTTTAAATAGCAAGAAGAAAAATAGTATGATAGTCATGGCCTTGGACATGTTGAAGATAGAATCTTTGTGCTATCCTGCTAATTGCTTTTTTTAAAAAGTCCTAAGAGTTTTTCTGTTTCTGTTTGCATTATTTTACATTGAATTTATTGTGTAGAAGTATGTATTTGTTCAATTCGCTTCATTTGTTTCCCGTGTGGACAGTGTGTCTGGTACCATAGAGGGTCTGGTACTCAGAGAATTGGCTCATTGTGTCCCTCTGTTTCCTTCCAACTTGTCAGTACCCAGGCACAGCTTTCCTGTGATGGTGATGAGTCCTTTCCTTATGGAATTCTCAGCCCAGGAGTCTGCAGCCTGGGGATTCCTGTTTTAACAGAACTGATCTAGTTTTGCCATCTTATACCCGAATTTCTTACTAGACCATTTCTTTTCTATACGTTTTGAATGAGATAGGCAGTGAAAAGCAAATCTGCTACTTCCCTTTTGCCTCTTAAAACCTTTGTGTGTTCATGTAATGTTTCTTTATTGGTGGAGCTCCTGTTCGACGTGGTTATTTCATTTACATTTAAATACCTAGAAGCCATTTTTATAGCTGTTACAAAAGTTTGTATTTATATAAGTTGTAGTGGTGGTTGGTTTATAAGCATTTTTAACCTTATAATAGCTACACAGACACCTATCCAGGTGGCAAAAGAAATATTAAAATTATGCAACTCTAAAAAATAAGTTTCATTATCAGTGAATATTAAATTTTTATTTGTTGATATTTATGAAACACATTCAGAGACCTGTGGAATAATCAAATTGTTTTTTTGGGATTTTTTCCCCCCTAGAATTACCTCTGGACTACAAATTTGCAAGATTCTCTTCAAGTAATTCAAAAACAGCTGGCTACTATCCACACCCTCCATTGACCCTGTCAGATGATGAAACACTGACAACCAAATAAACCATCTTTACTGAAAAATGAACCATATGTGCAGCAAGATACTGTACAAAAAAATGTTAATTTTCAAAAAAATACTGTAAAATGCTTTCTAGAAACAAGTTTTTAATGAAAATTGACCAAGAAATTGATATTCATCCATAGGTCTCCTTTCTATATTAATCATCTTGATATTTAATAATTCATTATATTAAAATCTCAGTGTTCTAGAACTAAAAAGAACCTTATGTTTTATTAGAATTCACACACACACACTTACATATGCCTAGTCCAGTGGTTTTCAAAGTGTATCCACAGACCAATAGTACAGTATGACCTAAGAACTAGACAATGCAGATATATGGACACCCCTCCTCAACAAACCGCTAAAACTGAGAGTAGGGCTTGGCAATCTGTGTTTTAACAAATCCCCAGATCTAGTTTGCTTGCAGTTTCAGGCCACTGGCTAGACCATATCCTCCAGATTTGATTGCTCTGTGTAGATATAGCTGAGGATTGATATTTTTATATGCCCCAGGAAAGTGCAGCCAGAATTGAAAACAACTCATATACCAATTCCTTCATTTTATAGCCAAGAACACTGATTCCAGTGAGATTAATGATTTTTCCAAACTATTAGGCTTTATGCTATGTCTGTGTTTTCCAAAACAAGAAAATAAAGAGACATGATTTCTTCTGAGATCATGCAGTCAGTGTGGAGTGAGGTGGTACTAGACGTCAACTCTCTCAACCTCCACTGTCACCTGTTAGGCTTTCTCCCCTAATGTTATAAAGCCTATTTACTTCATTTTACCAACTTTAAGCCATGCATTCTCAATGGGGACAAAAATGAGTTTGAGGGTGAAAAAAAATCTTACATGATATGAGTTGTGACCTTCCAAACTTACCCAACAAAGTCTTTTTCCTTAGTGTTTTTTTCTCTCAGGGAGAAATTTAGAGTTATAGCTATTAATTAAATTTAATTTGTATTACATCTAATTTTTCCTGCTGGGAAGGAGGATAATAATGAAAAACACAGTTGAGAAAAACTGCTTTAAGGTGTTTTACAGGTAGACTACAGTTCAGGATTATTGTGTTCTATGTGCTGTGTACAGTCATATCAGCAGCTATGTGTTGCAAGATATTTGGCGCCAACTGATGTTTACAATATACGTTCCTGAGTAGTCTGTAATTTCATTCTATTTACATGGACAGTATTAGAAAACACACTGGTCACTGTCATTATTTTACTTGGATTGTAGTAGCGAATGTAGCATATTGATGCATGCAATGAAAACTATTTTGTTAAGATTTATAAATGTTCAGATAAACCCCAAATACATGGTGGGGATGAGTATCTCAGGGTAAAAAATTACTGAAAATATTTCCTCAGAGTCAGTAGCTTTTTTGTTTTCTACCAGTAGGTACATGTGACAATGTACTTGAAACTGATTTCTGGAATGTCATTGTAAGATTATAATGAGCATACACAATCAAGCTTAGGGCTAAATGAAAGATACTGTCTCATGTTAATTTCTATTACGAATAAAGCTATTTTTCCTTACTCATTTTTATTCTGCAAACCGCAAAGAATACATCTTAAAATGCTTATAAACTGCTGTTAATATGAATGAGAACTCCAAAATAGGAAATTAATTGTACTTTTCTGGCCACTGAGCAATGACATAGGCAGAGGGGAAGTTCACTAGGTCTGAAGTTCTAGTCCTCCTTTTGCCAGTGTCCACTTAAGACCCTGAGCAGGTGCACACCTCAGGTGACCTGTTTCTTCCTTCTTGAGTTTATTTCCAAGTTTGCTTCTGTCCAGCCAGTGCTGCTTCTGGTGAATGTTGTTCTTCCACTAAACTACAGTTTGGCTTTTTACATTTGTATTTCATTGTTTTTGAAAAGTACCAGTGTTTCTAATTGAATATGATTAGATTAAGAATAAGCATCCAAAAGTGGCACCATGAAAATCAAAGAAAGTATTAGAAAAGTGGTATATTTTTTAATAAAGTTATGAACTAAGAAAGCAAGAAAATTGTGAGTAAATGGGCAGAAAATTTAAGTTTAATATTAGCATACATGCAAACATTCATTATCTAAAAGACACCTAAAAATAGATAAAAGGGAGCTGGGACCTTTCTTTTTTTTTTTTCTTTTTTCTTTTGCTAGCTTCCATTGATCTCATCAGCAAAGCCAATATCTGAATGGCTCAGGGGTCAAATGATTTATCAGGATTTGGTCTATTGTAGTAGTAGGAACTTCAACTCAACCATGAATTGCAACCTAAAATCAACTTCTGAGTTTGTTAAACTCTAAAATGAAATCAAGTATTATTTCCTCACCAATGGTCATATCCAAAAGTAACTTTACACACACATACACACACATACACTTTAATGAACTGGTTTGAATGAAATTCAAATAAGTCTGTATAATGATTTTATATAACAAACCAACATAAAATGGAACCTCACACTAACTCTACCTCTGATGAAGGGAACAAACTTATTTTCATTCATATGCAGCAAACATCAAGATTACATAGGCACATTCAGGCATGTTTTAATCTGTAACTGTATGGAATCATGTATTAAATCGAGTAATGAAAAGTACCCCTTTTGAAAGCCACTCATGAATGGATTAAAAATAACCCTCAACTGGGGCCTAAACACTTAGGTGTAAATAGGATTTCTGTTAACATTTTTATGTGGAATTTGGCAGGGAGGGTGTGCCGAGTGGAAGGTACTCTACTTGAAACCAGGAAACTCAACTGGATGTGACTGCATCTGAGGCAGCTGACCTTCCCTTTCTGAGCCTGTTTTCTCACTATTTACAAGGAGATACTTGAATGTGTCACAGGAATTATCAAGGTGATGTGACAGCACACAGGGACATGCCTGATACATCTTAGTGCTGAGGAGACAAGCCAAGAGCATGCACCTGAAACAGAATCAACAACCTGGGGCTCACACTGTGACTCTGAGGCAAGGGGCCCATGGAAAATGCAGGTGAGCATTCTGCTGTGTTTAAGGAAGAAAACTGACCCAGGGAAGCTTGAGTTAACTGGGACAGAGTGACAGCAGCAGGAGGTATGGGGACAAGGACCAAGCAGAAAGGTCTGAGAGCCTGTCACAGGCATGTGGCCTGAGCTGGTGCCCAGAAACAGAAACCTAGGGAGACTGCAGTGTGGAGACAGAGAAGTCATCAAGGGTTAATCATCCCTCACAGGGCAGTGTGGCCAAGCAGACGGAGATGATGACCCCTCCCTGGTGCCCAGAGGATGAAAGACCCTCTTAGCTGGTTTTGGAGGCCCATGCAGAGAATAATTGGGATCTAGGACTGGGGAAGGAAAACAAGGCACTGCAGAGAAACGGGCTTATGGGGGGAACCCAAGCCAATAGGGGTAACCTGCTGGATTCCTCAGAGTCTCATTTAATGGCAAATTTTATTAGACTAGACAACAAAACCATGCTAATCTGTCACAAATGGGTGGCACCAGCCTATTGAAGAGTGAATGCCAGGCCAGGCACGGTGGCTTACGCCTATAACCTCAGCACTTTGGGACACTGAGGTGGGAGGACTGCTTGACCCCAGGAGTTCAAGACTAGGCAACAGAGACCTTATCTCTAACAAGAACAAAAAAAACAAAAAATTATCCAGGTGTGGTGGCACGCACCTATAGTCCCAGCTACTTGGGAAGTTAAGGTGGAAAGACTGCCTGAGCCCTAGAGGTCGAGGCTGCAGTAAGCCCTGATCATGCCATTGTACTCCAACCTCAGTATCAGAATGAGACGCTGACTCAAAAAAAAAAAAAAAATGAATGCTTTTAGTGCTGATAAACCAAGTACGGGAAAAATGACATTTTCTGCTTATGTCCAGAACAGGAATAGAAAAGGGATAAAGCTTGAAACCAGAGGTTGACAGTGCAGAAATCAATCCCTAAATTGAAACGATGACATGAACACTGTTAGGGGCATGTAGGATAAAGACAGGGATACAGCTTGCAGAGGAAAACCTAACTCTAAAAGTTCTTGGGGCCTAGAAGAAGTCAGCAGGTAGAACACTACGTAATAACCGCACCATCGTTGGCAAGTTTATCTTACTGCCCATTTAACTAAGTTTCTAACTCAAATCAGAAATGTTGGGCAATTTATGTCACATTTTTGCTTAGATGGCTAAAAATACCTGGTCAGCCACTCTCAGAGTTTGCAGCATCCACAGAGCCTGTCTGCAACAGAGAGCACAAAGTTGTTCACCCTGCAAACCTGCACACCACAGCCAAGCAGCAGAGCTGCCATGACTGACAAGTAAAAGAGTGACAGCTGATGTGTTTCTAGACATTTTATTTCAGTCATAATTAGGGCTTTTTTGGTATTCATCTTAATGTACCACATTGTTGTAGGAAAAGAACTGAAGTAGCACTCAAAGAATATGCAATGAATAATTTTATCAAAGCCTGTCTTAAGACCATTAGGAGGAAAATTGAAGGTGGGAGGGCAGAGTTAACACCAATGCAATCAACACAGATGGTACACAGACAAGTTTTCCACTGAAAACAGTATTTTATTTATTTTTATTTTTTGGTGAAAACAACAAACACAGTAGTGACTTTTCCTTCAAGCACATAGGAGAAGACAGAAGAACAGTGACCGGCATTCAGCCTGACAGAGGATTCTGGTACTTACACTGCTGAGGAACATGAATTCCAAGTACTTTATGACCAAGACAAGAAATGTCAAGTAAGACAGCAGTTCTATTTTTCTTCTTGAGATTATTTTCACAAGACATAGCAACAATTTGTAAAATCTTCAGACTACTGAAAGATTACATTATTCAACTTATACTTCTAAGAAGAGAACTATGTAGGAACAGAGACCAGGACAGCTAATATATTAATATTCATTGAAGTCATACTGCACAAGACACAAGCTGGATATTTTTGTACGTTCTCAATTACAAGCAAAAAGCGAGCCTGTAAACATCAATTCCACCGGCAGGCTGAGATGGAGAAGGAATTCATAGGGTTTTACTGAGAAACAGTGAAATAAGGTGCACAGACACCTTTAGTGGTCCATGTCTAGAAGGTCATTCCTGGAACAAGGAAAACGTCCAGACTCACGTTTTTGTCGATAAAGATCTACTGGTGAATTTGGGAAGTTAGGGGACACTGGAGCAAGCCCATCCTCTGAAGTTCCCACCAAACCAGGGGAGGCCCTCCTGCAGGGCCCAGGGTCTCC